ACTTACCCACTTCATATATCGAGTACAGAACACATATATTACTGAACAACAATGCAAAAAAATCACAAATCGATATATTAGTATTGCTAAAGGCAAAGCAACACTTTCTAGAAATACTCCATATTCTACTCTTTATCACTATCAAATATACGCACTTCACCAGGCATACAATATCCAAAACCAACAACATATTTCAAACCTTACCAAAACTATCAACCACCTCAACTTCAACCAATCAATGTTAGCTATAAGGCTTCAACAACTACAGAATGCAGCAAACTGTAATACATCAATCCTGCTAGATACACCAGTATTCCCAACACCTCATCACAATACACCAATTGCAAAAACAGTCCTTAGCCTACACAAACTACAAATACAGTTATAAATAATGCTAACTCATGGCCAATTCCAAAAGTCCATCTAGGCAACTCAATTAACCTCTTACTTACTAATTTTTCTCACATACATCAAATAAAAAAACAGTTTAACAACCATAACATTCAAGCTATCGAACAATTTTGCAACCACAACAATGACCAAACACTTATCTGGGAAACCTTTTATCACAATATACAAAAAATAGCAAGAGGAAGAAAGCCCAAATGGTTTACAACAATAACTAATGCAATTGCCGCAGCTGAAAATCTATATAGACTGCTTATAAAGCCCAACCCATTTACTATACCTTTAACAACAACAATCAAGTCAAAGTGGATAATTATCTTTATACCACAACTAACAATTAGCAAAATTACTAGAATAGACAACCAAAACATCTCTATTGCCCACTGGAAAATCAATAAAGAAAACAACCAAACAACACACTGCAAAGGATGCATACTATCTTCTTATTCAACTAAAATCTGCAAGATTACTGTATCTAAAAACTTTATAATATTAACTCAAGTAGATAGCAAAAAGTGACTTTATGCAAACCTCCAAGACATACAAAAAGCCAACAAAGAAAAACTTAACACTTATACTAAACCCAAAGCAACTATTCCAACACAACTTTCTGAGAAAAAAGAAGACACATATGTCTGAAAAATCCTTACCCTAATCCCATTTATGCAAACAAAACTGTGAAACATATACCAGGCACTCAAAGAAAAGAAACAAATACAAGCTAGCATTTATATAACCAAAATACCCAACAATCCCCCAACTGCAACATGAAAGATTATTGGAAGCCTTTATACAATATTAGTTCAAAACGCAACTTGGCTATCAAATATACACGCTCTATATACCAGCAACCATATTACTCCTAACTATCTGTCCAAACCACCACACATCAAGCTATACATAAAACATCAAACCTTTACTCAAGACCTAATAACAACCATAACTATTCCTGTTTATCAAACAAGAGCTTTATATAATACCCCAAACTGGATACACAAAATCAGAGCAAGAACTGTAATAGCAAACAAACATATCTTCTTACAACCCATTTATGAGGCTAATCTAGAACAATGTAACCATATAAACGAAACATTTACTATAGACATCCCCTATAGCAAAATCCTTTACAACATATATATTACATCAATGCAAACAGCACCAATCAAACACAATATCAGAAGACTTATCAGATATCTACAAAATGCTCAAGCACTAGCAAGATGGCATTTACAAAGCAGAATACAAGCCTGGAAACAATACCAAATTAACTGAGAAATGACAACCCAATTTATAAGCTACAAAGATAAACCTATCACAAGAAGCACACATCTTCAAAAGTCACAACTAAAGTCCTTCAAAATCAAAGTACTTCTAGATGAACTACCTACCTACAAAAACTTGAATAAGAGACACCCTAGTATATATCCAAGCCCAACATGCCCATGATGCAAAAACCACACTGAAGACAATAATTATTGGATAATATGCCCAACAAATAGCATTCCTCTACAGCAAATCATAACCAGTACACTTAACACCACCTACACCAAATTTCAAATTTAACCAGAAACAACAGCATACATCAAATGCAACATCAGAATCAACTCAGTATTCTTAGGTACTATTCCAATAACAAAACTACCTAATGTAAGGACAGATTTAGATAGGATTAATAAGTGATCAATAAAGTAACTACAAACTGCAAAGCACAAACTACTCATCCAACCTTAAGAAAAGTACAAGACTCAGTGACCATTGCTAAACAGAAACTACCCACCCTAAGAAGAAGCCAAATCCACTGTTGATCATTTGACGTAGTCACATGACCTGTAAAGCCATTGCCATAATAGGAGAGTTCCGACCCCAATTCGACGTAGCGAAATACTGGATGAGACAAGAAAAATAAGAAGAGAAAGGAATTAGTAAAAGAATGTAGGTTGAAGAAACACTTAAGAGAAGAAGAAAATAGTACTTATCTATGGATGATAAAGCACTCATCTGATCGTTACATGAAGCTGACGTTTGAATTAGTGCCAGACCCACTGATTTGGGAGCTCCTACGATATTTGTGGCTATTGTGACGCCGGGAATCATGATACCGAAGATTGTGACCGATCACATGAAAAATGCAATAAGTGCAATAAATGTAATAAGTGTATTAAGTGATATTTAAGAGCAGAAATGGTATTTTGGATCCAAAGGGGTAGATAAGGAATAAAAGGAGGAAGTAATGGATAGTAAATAAATACGTGTAAATGAGTTTAATTAGTTTTAAGAGATAAGTTGCATTTGTAAGCAATGAATTTAGAGTTATAAATAAAGGCCTAAATGGCCCTTGAGAGCAGTATGTTTAGTATGCTTCATTTGCTTTATTAAACAATAAATCCTAATACCCTACATGTACTTAATAAACACTAACACTATTATCATTACAAACCTTGTAAACTTCTGTAAACATCACTGTTTAAATCTTAACCACATGACTTACTCTATTTGCATTCGTTAACCCAAAGTAACCAAAAGCCTTTCTCGCCTACAAGCCAAATCTAACACCCTCTTTTGAAAAGGTTACTTATCGTACATTATGCAAGGTTTTGAATTATGAAGTGACAGAGTTGCAAACTTCTGAACACAACACTAACCTTGCCAATAACCAACATATATTATATTTTTATTATAAACTCTTTAAAAAAATACATAAACAAATATGGAAACATAGATATACTAATATACCACATATCTGTAACCAAAACCCAAATGCTACAACCTCAACCAACCTACCAACTTCTCGAGTCCAACCTTATTCTACTATAGACACTATACAGAATAAATATAACAAATGGCTTCCAAATTTTATTCATCAAAATGTATCTACAACAAACATTATATACATAAACTAGGAGGCCTTGGACCTTCTTAGCAAAGTCTAGGTCGAAAGTAAATTAGCTTTAGTTTCTAGTTCCTCATAACATTGTATTCACTTACTTACTGCAAAATTTTATATAATGATAATAAAGGAATAGAGGCCAGGCCTTGCTTTTAAAAAAAAAAAAAAAAAAAAAAAAAGGCAAAAACAAAAAAAAAAAAAGAAGAAATAAATAATAAACTAAAAGCAATAGATGTAAAAATAGAACTAGTGCTACTAAAATTATATAGTATTAGTTGGTAAATTAGTAAGTCTATTACTAAACTAATTTAGCTCTCATATAACCTATAGTAGCTTAGTCAAAATAGGCATATTAGATTTAGCTAGATAGTTTATTTATAAGTAAATACTAATCTTCTCTTCTAAGTCTTTTTTTAACTTATACTTTTTTTTTATAGGTTTTTACCTAAAGTTATATTAAATTAAATCAGAATTGGAGTTTTTTTCTTGCATTAATAGCTTGTTATGTGACTTATGATAAATGATCAAAATATGGCTTAGTAGTTTACAAAAGAATAATAGAGATAACAAAGTAATTAATTATAGTTTATTAGTTATTATTAAATAGTACTTTCATTTTTATTATATTTCAGATACTTAGTTTTATATATGTAGATATATTTACTTTGAAGTAGATCTATTATAAGGAATATTTTTTTTTCTAGACAAAAAGCTCTTTATTTTATAATAAAAGTATTATTTAAATTCAAGATTAATTTCCTTCACATTATCTGTTTATACTATATAATTATTAAAACCTCTACTTCTACTATTATAACAAAAAAATAAATATTTTCTATATATTTATTTACCCAAAGTAATAGAAGTAATAAAAATAAGAAAAATAAGATTTCTTTTACTTTTTATGTAATTAATTACTATGATAGAAAGTGGAACCTAATTTTGACAATCAGTCACATGTGACTATAATAATGTATAACCAATTTTGAAGCTTACATTTCTTTTTATATAGTTTATGCATACTATGCATAAATAGAAGCTTATAAAAACTTTAAATTATTATGCTTCAATGCTTTAGTAATGAAGTTACTTTATAATTAATAACAGAAAATAAGGTTTCTTTTTGTTCTTTGTCTTTTTATTTTTGATTAATTTTACTAACTTTCCTTTTTTATATTTTATTTCTAGGTTCTTTTTCTTTATTGTTATTATTTTTTTTCTTAAGTAGTAGTTTGAATTTAATTTACATTGCAGTTTTTTTGCTGTTCATTTATCAGCATTTAACCTTCTTTTATTTTGTAAACATTTTTAAGCCTTCTTAGGTTTTAATTCATATTTTTTGACTTTATCAACCTTTTTCTCTAATGATAACTCTTCTTTTAGTAGCATTGGTTTAGTTTCTTTCTGCATTGGCTTTCTTTAAAAAATAGATTTATCTAATTTTCTCTGACTGTTTGTTTTTTTGACTTGCTTTTATTTTTATCATTTTTATAATTTTTCTTTTTTTTTGTAAAATTTTATTTTAACTATCTAATTTATTTTAGATTTTAGGATAGAAGGTCCTTTAAATCAAAAAATTCTTTTGGCTAAAGTAGGTTCTTTTATCACTTTTGGGTTATTTTGAATAAATCTTTTAAATACATTAATGCTTCTATTCCAATCTTCACAGTATGAGCCTGATTTTTGTAAAGCATGAAGGCCCAAATCAAGCAATGATACCTATTATTGGGTTTGAAAGATTGCAACTCAGTTGCTCCAAAATTCAAAACCTCATATAATATATGACAAGTAATCTTTTTAAAAGAAGGTGTTAAATTTGGCTTATGAGCGATTAAGGCTTTCAGTCACTTTGGATCAATGAATGCAAATAGAGTAAGTTATGTGGTCAAGAGTTGAACAGTGATATTATTAAGAGTTCACAGAGTTTGTAATAGTAATAGTGTTAGTGTTATTAAGTACAATGTAGGTTATTAGGATTTATTGTTTAATAAAACAAACAAAGTGTACTGCTTCTAAGACAATTTCAGCCTTTATTTATAATATAAAATTTGTTACTTACAAATGTAACTTAGCAATTATTTTTACTTTAAGGCTATTAAATATTATTTACACTGATCTATATAATATCTTTAAAGATGTGTAATTTCTATTCCCTTCTTCCTTCTGGATCTGAAATACCATTTCTGATCACAAATGTAACTTATTACATTTTGTGTATTATTTATATAATCAGATATGATATCCAGTATTACAATATCCATAATCATATTACCCAAGTCAAAGTTATATAAAAAATAACAGAAATGTTATTTCTGTTACTTTTTTTACTTTTGTTACTTATCTATTTCTTTTACTTATAAGATAAATGAGATATCAGCCTTTTTTTAAATATAATTAGGATGTAATAAATATTATATTTATGTTAGAAATTAATTATCAATGTAAATAAAAGTTTTATTATAAATAAAGGGCCTTTTGCCTAGGAGAAAAACAATTACAATACTCTTAAGTAAATATAATTGCTTAAATAAACTTAAAGTATTGAACTTATATTAAAAATAAACTATAATCAAACTCAAAACTATTATTAAACCTATTATAATCAACTATCATTTGCCTATTTGTAATTCATTAAAACTACATTTTGTTCATTTATTGCAAGTCATGTAACCAAGCCATTAATGTAAGAGAAGAACTTCAACCTGATTTGATAATTATAACTTCAAGTTAAGGAAGTAGAAAAAAGAAAAGAAAAGGCAAGAGTTAATAGAAGAGTAGGTTAAAGAAAAGACTTAGAAGAGAAAAGTAGTACTTATCTATAAATAAACTACTAAACAAATCTAACATGCTTATTTTGACTTAGTCACTATAGGTTATATGAGAATTGAAAAGAATTAATGACAGACTTGCTGATTTGCTGCACAACAACAGATTTCATTCAAGTATTCTATGTAAAATATCAGCAGCTTTGCATATTAGGGTTTTTATTTTTAGTAGCTCTTTGGAAATATTTAATTTATTTGTTTTCATTCTTTTCAATTTTAGTTTTATTATTATTTTTATTATAAATTGTATTATTATTATTGTTATTACTATTGGCATATTTATTATATATTGCATTATTATTATTGTTATCACTATTATTATCTTTATTACAGATTGCAGTATTATTATTGTTATCACTATTATTATTATTGTTATATATCATATATTTATTATTGCTATCTTTATTAGAAACAGGTTTATTAGCTAGGTCACTTTTATTCTCTTCAGGATTTTTCTTATTTATTGATAGTTCTTCAACTTTTTTGAAGGCCCACTTTTGTGCAAAAGCTTTGAATTCAGTTTATATAATAATAGCATTTTTATTTTATTTTTATTATATAATTAACAAATTATGCAATCTTAAGTGCATAATATAATTCTGCAAAAAAGGTGTACTACATATAGTACACTATTCAAAGCCTTCCCAGGTCTTACTAAAAAAAATTATCAGTTGCAAATTTAGTAAATAATAGAATAAGCCTCAAACAATCTATAAAAAAAGTTTATAACTTATAGAAGCAAAACTAAATGTATTACAAATATGATCAGCTTAACAATTCATGCAAAAAGCCCTTATATTTAAATATATGCAATAGGTAGTTGTATGCTTATAGCAGTTTAAACAACAATATTAAATATATTTCTCTTTAAGATTTTTGGTTATGGGATTATATCTGAGACTGATGAGATAATGTTCATTAATTTTTGGTTCCTATATATTTTGTTTTCACCTTTTTTTAGCTTGCTTTTTCACAGATTCATTGAAATAATAGTCAAAAATTGAACTAGTTTTTTGCAAAATTAACATGTTTTATATTTTTTTTATCTAAACCTAATTGACAATATGCAGAATAACTATTTAATTTAGTAACAGAAAAATAAAAAGCAAGCAATAATTTTCAAAACATTTTGTTAAAAGAATATCATGATAAGAAAGTACATTATCATACAAATTATTAAGAAAATCTATAGCAAATCTATATTTATTGAATTTGTTAAAAAGAGCAGATTGCAAAAATTTTATATCACTATGTATTTTAATATATTGCTTTACTTCAATATAGGGTTTGTTGTTGAACGACTACTAAGTAATACAATATGTTTATAATTACAAAAAGAATATAGTATAAGATCAACATCATCAAATTTTTCTGTTCTGTTACTAAACAATTTATACTTATTTTTAAAATTTGTAATATTAAAAGAAATGTATTTTGGCCAATAATAATGTTTTTTAATTATAAAATTGAATAAAATTCAAACTTATACAAAAGTAACATACATATTTACATTGCCAAACCATGAATCCACAACAATTGTTCTATCATTATAAAACTAATTACAACATAGTTGCAACTATTGGTGTATTATTATCTGAAATTTTTTTTTTTCAAAATTTGGGGGCTCTGCAGAATTTAATTATAAAAACAAGTTACCTTTAGCACAGCAATAGCCTTAAATTCACATCTAACTGGATAAGGCTTTTTTGGTATTTTTTGTTAAAATAGTCTTTTATCAATTTTACCTAACTATTGATACATTGACTCATCAATACAAAAATGACTACTAGGTATAATAGTATATGAAAGATTTTCATTAAATGCATTATGAAACTGATGAGTAAAATAAAAAATATCATTGTCTACTGGCATATAAGTCATATTAAATATTTAACAATATCTCTAAATTATCTATGCAACATATGCTAACCAAATAACAATGAAATGCTATATGTTTCTTAATTAAGAGACCAATAATCACAACTATCTGCACAATGAATATATGTTATTAAGATTAAAATGCCAATAAAGTGCATAAATTCTATTCAAGTTATATCTTTTTAGCATTACTTACTTTTATATGCACACTTATTTGTAAATAAGATTACAGTTAATATTATATATTTTATAGTCAAAAAACATTTAAAAAACAGTCTGTATAATGCATTACAAATACCAGAAATATGTATCTTTGGTGCATTAGAATATAAATAGCCTATTTGGTATGAATCAATTATAATAATTGCATTTATTCATAAAATTTACTTTTTTTTATTTACTTTATTATTACTATTTTTATTTTTAATTTCGCTTAAAATATTTGTCTTAGACTTTTTACTAAATATTTCTAATTTATTATTATTTTGGTCATAATTAGCTGTTGAAGCAGCTTCAAATTTCATATGTTCTGCTGCAACTTCAACTTCTATTTTCTAATTGTAATCAAGACTACTAATCTAATGATTTGTGTCAGTTGTTATTTATAATACTGTGACAAAAAGACATTTTGTTTTTTATATATTACCTCAAACTGGAAAAGCAGTTTTTTTATTCACAACTGTTCCCAAGATGCTAAATTTATATTTTTCTTTAATATGAGATGAGATATATCCCATATTTAATATTAACAAAATATTACAATTGTTTATAATTAAAAAAATAAATATATATATATACTGTATATATATAAAAAAAAAACTATGGATTATATAATATTCATAGTAATGTTTACAGCAGATTTTTTTTAGTTTATTAGATAAGTATTATCAATATTTCAAATAAAAATGTTCAAATTACACATTTTATTAAACTTTTTTTTTTTTTAAACCTCTAATTTTATATGAAAAACATTGTTAGAAAAAAAATTTTGAGAAAAAAAATTAACTTTAGATTCTAAATTATGCTTTTATTGTGTTTATTAATTATTTATTACATCATATTCATAAGCTTTACTAATGATAAATATATATAATTCTTTTTTTTTAAAAAAAATATTAATGATAAGGCTATGCCTTTAACTTTATTGAAATTCAATTGAAGTTTTTACAAAGGAAAGCTTGCTTTTAAATTACATATGAAGAATAAAGACTCAGACATATAATCTGTGACCTAAACCTACAAGAGTGGCC